ACGGTAAATGTTCAAATGTACTTCCCTATAAGACTACTGTAGGATAATTTGATATTTTCACCCACCTTGGCGCCATGGGTTGGCTCGTAGAGGTAATCACCAGTGTCCGGATGTTGAATACCTGCTGGATCTCGTCCGACAATGTACGTGTGCACACCGGCGGCAATTCGAGCTCTGAAACAGGAAAATGCTGGAAATAAACGGATGTTCTCTTATATGGAACCGTGATGAGAGTATAAGTGATTGTGACTGACTGAGTGACAGAGTGATTTCAAACTTCTGGGTCAAGCTCGACGCTGCCAATCGCGGAAGTTCCTATGGCTTTTTTGTGTTGTCAGACTACGTAATGTGTGTGAAAAGGAACTTTCAAGAAACGAGAGCGTGGAGGGCACGAAGGAGTTCCCCCACGGGGCAAACGACAAACGAGAAAGATGAGAAACACTGAAACAGGAAAGACCATCCACATTTTAACAATCGGGAGAAGTTCCAAGACTACTACCCCGAAGTGGTTCTTCACAAGTACTGGGAAAGTGGTTCTATTGTCTGCAGTTCGCTGGATTCCTCCTGACCATTGAGTTCAGTCACTCAAAATTATGTAAATGTTAAAGTTCCCACCTTGCGTGCCATTGTACTTCTGTAGGTCCTGCATACAGCATCGGTGATGGGAAGATGGACAGTACGGTCCATGAGGGATCCAGGACACCTTCAGCAATCACTGCCTCATGCTGACGCATTCGAACTGATAACGGAACATCATCGTTTTTCGTCCATCCTCCTAAATATTTCATTCATAATTCATTCAACAATTAAATTGTTGATGAGTATCGCACTGGCGCAAAACCTTATGTGTGGGCTGACAGTAGCCATATCAGCACAGCAGAGTGGCTATGAAACCCAGAGAGGCCCTTTCACTCACTTTATACACGGTACAGTTGACATCGTCGCAAGTGCTGCATAGCGCTGCCTTGAAGGATGAACCAGCCGCGTCTTGGTAAGGCATGTCGTAAGCTGGAGATTTTCCAAGGGTATTTGGTCGCAGAGGGAAACGATAGCATAACAATTCGCCTGATTCTTACCCCCTTATTTACGCATACAGTTTTCCCTCACAGTCGTCGGGGCTATAAATGATAATTTTTGATAGTACGGAGGTGACGAAATCGCCTACCTCCCTTTCCTTCGCTGCCCCTCCCGCACCCTCTAGCAGCTCGATGGCGGCAAAATTTTGGAGAAATTCAGCGAAATGGTTGCTGCGGGGTCGCACCTGAAGAGTGGGTGGGCCATAACGTCCGAGGTTTCCATCCACCCGCAGGATGCGGTTCTCTCACGACGTCTGGGGTCCTTCTAGGTGTACTTCTACGTTACAGTTTCTTTTTTTTGTAAATGCGCAACTTCTAAACCGTCTTGATTGAACGCTGATTTTCGAATCGGGCCAGTACTTGCGATTCTGGGTATCAGTGAGGATCATCGCAGTCTTACTGACAATTTGAATGTGGAACTCCAAGGCATTCACTGCTTTTCAAATATCCTATGATATTTTCATCCGAACGGCTCTCTGTAGTATTCAGACACATTCCGGAACGTGTGACACTCATGAGGTGTCATGGTTTTCATGACTGATGTCCGCGCGCTCATAGCAGATGTTGCTGCCCCATCATAGCATGACTCCTGAGTGTCTACACTGATTCCTTGGAAGAGCTGAACAGCTGAAAAGGTAACCTACCCAACGGATGAAGAAGCAACATAGGATTACGGTACTTCTTCAGTAGTTTCTCTCTTGTGTCACGCATAAGAAGTGCATGGCCGTTGTGGATAGGATTGCGAAGTTGGAAAACAAACACTGCGTCAGCACCTGAATGAAAGAGAACAGGTGGTATTCCTTCGCACTGTCA